ATGAATTGACCCTGTGTGATGCATTCACTGTCAGTGTGATGCATTTACTGACATTCAAATGCATGAATTGACCCTGTGTGATGCATTCACTGTCAGTGTGATGCATTTACTGACATTCAAATGCATGAATTGACCCTGTGTGATGCATTCACTGACCCTATGTGGTGGGGTAGTGGTTACCTGGGTAGTAGGAGTTCGGTGCAGAGGTGCTGATGGTGTTGGTCTTAAGGGTAAAAGAGGAAGGAGATGACATGTCTGTATAGAAACACAAAAAACAGAAGTTGTTATTGTCCATGAACTCATTGCTACGTCGGCTCTAACCCCTACATCCCTCCATCACTATATAGTGAACTTTATAGTGAACTCAGTTCACTGACCGTTCAGACAGATGATCACTACTTTTTACTCCCCGTTGGTGAATCCCAACACGGTGGCTCCGCCATCTTTGTTCTTTTTAGGCCTCCATTCAAATCCCATGATGCTTTGCAAGGAGAGCTCTCACAAAGCATTCTGGGATATATCTGCTTGTCTAGTGACAATCTCTGTCGTCCGCTCTATTCAGCTGGAAACACACGGCGAGAAGGTGGGGGCCGGGTGGTGAGGGTTACGGGGGCGAGAAACGCAGGAAACGAGGACCTGATCCTCCAAGAGGACCTGATCCTCCAAGAGGACCTGATCCTCCACGAGGACCCGATCCTCCAGGAGGACCTGATCCTCCAGGAGGACTTGATCCTCCAAGAGGACCTGATCCTCCAAGAGGACCTGATCCTCCAAGAGGACCTGATCCTCCAGCAGGACCAGATCCTCCAAGAGGACCTGATCCTCCAGCAGGACCAGATCCTCCACGAGGACCTGATCCTCCAGGAGGACCTGATCCTCCAAGAGGACCTGATCCTCCAAGAGGACCTGATCCTCCACGAGGACCTGATCCTCCACGAGGACCCGATCCTCCAGGAGGACCCGATCCTCCACGAGGACCTGATCCTCCAGGAGGACTTGATCCTCCAAGAGGACCTGATCCTCCAAGAGGACCTGATCCTCCAAGAGGACCTGATCCTCCAGGAGTACCAGATCCTCCACGAGGACCTGATCCTCCAGGAGGACCNGAGGACCTGATCCTCCAAGAGGACCTGATCCTCCAGGAGTACCAGATCCTCCACGAGGACCTGATCCTCCAGGAGGACCTGATCCTCCAAGAGGACCTGATCCTCCTGAAAAGGTTCCTGTTCTGAAGCTGTCAGGTTTAAAGGTCACCACCTGTTAGCTTAGCATAGGGCCCTTCATTAGCAGGAGGACTAATGGATGACGTCTCTAACATTGACCTGTTTGCTTTGAGCAGACAGAAATGAAGGCTGCTGCTATGCTAACAGCTGCCTTTTAATGGAACCTTCCAGCTGTTGCCACTGGGCTGATATATAAACATAGATTTCTATAGATAGAGTTTCTTTGTTCGATGACCAAACAATAAGCATTGCACGCTAACTGGTTTCTCTGTGTTTTGAAGGGCCTACAGCTCTTCTTCTGTCTGTGGTTCTATGTGAGCTGAATCTGGACCTCCTTGGCATCCATGTTCCTGTCTGGGTTTGTAGTTCAGTTCCCAGGGAATGTTCCCTTTGTTCTGCTTGAGAAGAACCTGAGCCGTGGAACATGGCAGACTGACTGATCCTGACATGATGTGAATTGGAGCTATAGAAATAAAATGAATTGAAATTGAATTTAAATTTCGAGGATTAATTGATGAATTGATGGAGTTGAGCTGATGAACGAGGTGCGGTCGGCGCGGTGATCATCTACCGCAGCAGTCAGGAAGTCTTCCTCACAGAGAGGAGCTGCAGTAACAGCAGGGATGAGCAGAGGAGCTGAAGGCCTGAGGGAAGGTCAGCTTCTCCAGTTTCTTGATTAATGCTTAGTCACATCACCTGCAGCATCTTAGAGCAGATCCTTCTGCAGCGAACACAAACGCTGCTGCAGGACACAGAGACAGACGTCTCTGCAGACAGAGACTGGCTCTGATTAATCTCCCTCCTCTGCATCATCGCCTCAGATTGATCCTGCTGCTCAGGTTTCCTTCCCTGCCTGGATTTTCTCCTTATTCTCAGCCAGTTAAGCAAATTCTGACACCTAAAGAGGGAGAGAGCAGATCCATCATCTGGAACCAGTCTGCCCATCATCCTGGTTATATGGAACCAGTCTGCCCATCATCCTGGTACCTCTGGAACCAGTCTGCCCACCATCCTGGTACCTCTGGAACCAGTCTGCCCATCATCCTGGGACACTGGAACCAGTCTGCCCATCATCCTGGTACCTCTGGAACCAGTCTGCCCACCATCCTGGGACTCTGGAACCAGTCTGCCCACCATCCTGGGACTCTGGAACCAGTCTGCCCACCATCCTGGGACTCTGGAACCAGTCTGCCC